GATTTAGATATCTTGGGTATGATATCTTGGGTATGTTGTTCAAAGCGATAATGATATAGATGGGGATGTTAATAGTAGAATTCAAGTTGGTTGGTCAAAGTGGAGGAATGCTTCGGGCCTTTTCTATGATAGAAAAGTATAGCTTAGACTGAAAGGAAAATTTTATAAGACAGTGGTGAGATCTGCAATACTCTATAGCACTGAATGTTGGCCTTTGAAAGAGAAGCATAATAATAAGTTAAGTGTTGCCGAGATGAGAATGCTTAGGTGGATGAGTGACTTTACACTTAGAGACAAGGTGCGAAATGAATATATCCGTGATAGGGTTGGTATAGCTCCTGTGACGGACAAAATTAGAGAAAGTTGTCTTAGATGGTTTGGTCACATTAAACGTCGACCATTAGATGATCCGATTAGGAGAGTAGATGTTTTAGATTCGACTTGTGTTAAGAAAGGCAGAGGTAGACCTAGGAAGACTTGGGCTTATTGTATAAAAAATGATCTTAATTTACTAGAACTAAATGAATTATGACACTAAATAGGACGCAATGGAGAAAAAGGATTCATGTAGCCGACCCCACGTAGTGGGATTAAGGTTGTTGTTGTTGTATACTTCTTGATACTTGAGCATTCTCTATCATCAAGTAGTTTATATTATATTCTAATCCTCAAGATCTAAAATATATAAATTCTCAAAAGCAGTTGGACAACAACATTCTAAACGGGTAGATTTTCTACAAGAATATTCTTTTATCCTTAAACATTGTGTTGATTTTGAAAACAATCACGTTAATGTTTTACACAGAATTTATGTTCTACGTACCATGTATGTGAAGTTTATTGAATTTGATGAGTTGAAAGGGGAGTATGCTACATGCAATGATTTTAGCATGATTTGTAAAAACTTAAATAATGCTTTATCATTGCTTAAAAGATATAGTTAAAGTTGGTATTATTTAAGGGCACTCAGTTATTTTTTTTTATTCATAATTTTAGTTTTTTTTTTATGATTTACATCGTTGAAGTTTTGATGAACATTCAGTAGCAATTAAATTATTGCAATGATTGAGAATATGTTATTTTGGTCAAGTTTTAAAAGAGACATCTTTAATTATGTCAAAATGTAGGGTTTGTTAATCTGCTAAGAAGAAAAAAAAAAGATTGTATTTGTTACTAGTTCCATTGAAACCTTAAGAGGAATTTATTAGTCTTTCTGTTTGGCTTATCACGAATGCTGTGGAAGCATGATTCTACTTTTGTAGTGGTAGATCATTTTTCAAAAATGATTCATTTTATACCATTTTGTAAAATGGCTGATGTATTTGACATTGCTAAATTTTATCTCAATAAAGTGGCTAAATAATACGGTTTGCATGAAATAATTATTTGTGATCATTTTGTAAAATTAAGTCATCTTTTTATTTCCGTATTGAGGCCTAATTTTTCTTACTTTGTTTATTTCATTTCTTGTTTAATTTATCTACATAAGTTTTTATTATCTACTTCAGTGCTCGTACTTTTATTTAAAGAGTGATATTTCCGAAATCTGATATTATGAAAATTAATTTGTTTGCTCGCTAATTTATTTTATTTCCATTGAAATTCTCATATGTTTACAATCATTTTAAGATTTTTGTCACCTATTTTTATTTAAATAAAGGTAGTTGTGGTATAATTGGTAACTTCAAAGGTGTAAATTCTCTACCTTTTTTTACATAAAAGCATATCACATTAGGAAAACTATCTCTGAATTTCCTTATATTAAGAACGTTCAATGGTAATGAAAAGGCTATCAATTTGTTAAGTCTTGCTACCTTTTAATGTTTTTCTTTTAAGTAGATTTTTGAGTTAAATTACATGAACTTGTGAAAGAATATACAAGATTTATTGATATTTCACCATTTTGGTGAATGCTACATCAATGATTTAAATGTAATAATAATAATAATAAGGAAAACTTACATACGTAGCACATAATTCTTATTAATTTGCATATCTCACACCTACCCTCATATTTACATGTATAGCACTTAAGTTCTTAAAACTAATGGAAGAAAAGGTGGATATTACTTTTAAAAGTGGTAATAATTTTATTTTTGATGCGATATTAAGGATTTGAGTGCTGTGTGTAAATGTGAAAGTTTAGGTGTGAGATATGTAAATACATAAGAATTGTGTGCTATGTATGTAAATGCCCTTAATAAGAGAAAAAGAGAATGACGGGTTCCTTATTGGTGCAGAGCATTTTATTTTTGTCCTTCGTTTGTACTTTGTAATTTTGCTTATATTTTCAAAATATGGATTTGAAACTCCTTAATCTTACTCGCTATTAGAAGCAAGAAACAACGTATTCATCTCTCTAACAAAATTATAAGCTTGGCAAAACCAACACTCATTAAAGTTTCTACAAGGTGGTCTTTCTAGATCTGACTAGTCTTCATCTATGACCACAGAATCTGGATGTCTCCTGCCAAGTTTGCCTTCAGATGCAACTCTGGACCCTTCTACTGGGATCAGCTTCACTTGTGATCTTAATGACAATATTGCAGCTCCGTGGCCCTCTGCCTTTCACCCACCTTCAACTTCATGCAATAAATGTATGATTTTTTATTTGTTACTCAAAGTTTCTTAAAGTTTTTAGTTTACTAACCTTGTCTGATTGTAAAATTATAATGCATCTATACTGCCTTTAATAATTCTGTCTCTTTGTAATATCTTGGCAAACAAAATTATTATTAGGCGTACTTCAAAACCTTTGACTTCTTTTCTTTGTTGGTTAATAAGCCCAATCCAAATAAGTATAGTGTTACCGATAAAGTTTTAGGGCTCCTAGAAGATGTTTAGGGAGGCGTTGTGTTACTGATAAAGTTTTAGGGCTCCTAAAAGATGTTTAGGGAGGCATTTTTGCTGGTTTGTTTGTGGAATATCTAAGGAATGAAAAATATTTGTGGGAGACGGTATCTTGAAGGGGTAAAAGATGAATTCTCTATGGGACGACAAATTTGGCTTTGATCAGCGGCTGTCTTGGTTTAAAACAGTGAGACAGACGACAAAATAATGCGTTACGGATGTTGAGGGGGTTCACCACCACCTGTTCCTAAACAAGCTACTGACACACTATATGTAAAAGGAATATGATACATCGCTCCATAGGTAGAAATCAAAGATTACAATATCTAAAATATACAAAGAGTTTGAATAAAACAAGAAATAATATGATATACATAGTTCCCTGATAGAAATTAATCTAATTAGAAAAGAGAGATGAATGAAATCAAAAAGGAAAGAAATTGCGTTAAAATAGGAAAAAGAATAGTGTTCTGAGCTTAATGGAAGTCCCACAATCAAGATTCCACAGTTCTTTTGATCGGGAACTTGACAGGATCGCGGACCCCACGAAATTCAGTGGAAGCGAGAGCTCTCGTATCATTCTCCTCGAGTAGGAAGAGTTTCGCTCTTTCCATTGGAAGCTTCTAGAATTGAACTATCACCATCATAACAAAATCATTTCTTTGCTGTTTCTGCGACAGTCCCACTGCAAAATTTTTGTTCATGTGTATTTTACCCTCAATACATGAGGGAAAAATATTAGGGGAAGAGGAAGTTGGGGTGGAGATGCTAGAGTTAGAAATTTTAAGATGTTGATCTTTGAAGGAGATCACTTTGAAAAATTCAACTAGGTATCGGGAACCGCGGTGGGTGGGACCCTAACAGAGGGCTGCTTCCAATTATGATAGTGCTTTTGTGGTGGCAGCCTTCCGGGTGAATGACAATTCAAAAGTAATGATGGCAACGAAGCTAGTGGAGAAAAGCAGAAGAGTTTGTAAGGAACTGATTTGGACATTGTAGAGTATTTAGAAGGGAGACAAGATTGTGATGCTTCATCGTGAGCCCAATTTATGAAGAAGTTGGTGATGTTGAATAATATGATGAGAGCGATTTAGTACATAGGGTTGTCATTATTGATTAAGTGGCATTGCATGGAAGAAATACATAATACGGAGTTAATAGAGATTCTGGTAATTGATGAGCCACTGGATGAGCTTATTGGGGCTGCGATATTATCTAAAATTGACTGGAAGTCAGGACACGATCAGATTTGGATGCGGCCAAAGGATGTGCATAATACGGTATTTCAAAATGGTTAGGGTCAATACATGTTTTTAATTAAATGAAAAGGATTGCCAAATGATGATGCCACATGGGAGCTGTAAGACCCGATCTAGCAACAGTTTTTTCCACTGAGGACAAGGTGTATTTTTGAGAGGACAGTAGTGCTATGTCGGTATTATTTTCTCCTTTATTAGTGTAAGGGCAATTTAGGCATTCATAGTTTATTATTATTAGTATAAAAAGAGCTAATATGTTTAGGGATGGGGGTGCTTGAGATTGTGTTTGAGTCTTAGTGTTATGGTTTGAAAGAGATTTTTTATCTCTCGAATTGTAGGATTTGGGAAAGATTGCCTGCTTCTCGAATTGTAAGGGTTTAACCTTTATGTGTTGTGTTGTTTGTCATATTGAATAAAAAAATTTGTGTTGCTCTAATTTGTGTGGAAATCTGTGCCGAATTGTATCAAAATGTTAATAACACATCAAGTATTATATAAGAACCATCAGCTGGTGCAATTAATTGTCACATGCAGCTCTTCCTATGTATAATTTCAGTTTCTAAAGCATCATTATAATGAAATAAATGGTGAGCGCTTATGTCATACTCTTTGTGAACTTATCACGCACAAAATGTTGATAACACATTAAGTATTATATAAGAAACATGAGCTGGTGCAATTAATTGTCACTTGTAGCCCTTCCTATGTATAATTTCAGTCTCTAGAGCATCATTATGATGAAATAAATGGCGAGGGCTTGTGACATACTATTTTTGAACTTTGACATGCGTCAAAAAACTAATCACGCACAAATCATCATGATTTCTAAATTCCTATGCTTTCTTTTGTAATACTAAGTTAAATGGGCTTGAAATATGCTTGCTGTATACCAATGCAATTTTTTTTCTGCTCATGAAGGCAATGAGGCAGGTTAAGCTGTAAAACTATTTCTCCGTCTCCTAGCAGTTCATTCTTGGTCGATTCATTTTAGAACAACTAGATTAAGTGAGATTTTGAATCCACCTGTTAGAATTAATGTTTAATGACATGATTAATAGATGTTTCTTATTATTCATTTTTTCTGCCTCTGGGATACTTAATGAAGTTTTATTGTCTCAATTTTGTTTACATCACAAATCATCATGATTTCTAAATTCCTATGCTTTCTTTTGTAATACGAAGTTAAATGGGCTTGAAGCTTGCTGTATACCAATGTAATTTTTTTCTGTTCAGGAAGGCAATGAAGCAGGTTAAGCTGTAAAACTATTTCTCCATATCCTAACAATTCATTCTTGGTCGGTTCATTTTAGAACAACTAGATTAAGTGAGATTTTGAATCAACCTGTTAGAATTAATGTTTAATGACATGATTAATAGATGTTTCTTATTATTCATTTTTTCTGCCTCTGGGATACTTAATGAAGTTTTATTGTCTCAATTTTGTTTACATCACAAATCATCATGATTTCTAAATTCCTATGCTTTCTTTTGTAATACGAAGTTAAATGGGCTTGAAGCTTGCTGTATACCAATGTAATTTTTTTCTGTTCAGGAAGGCAATGAAGCAGGTTAAGCTGTAAAACTATTTCTCCATATCCTAACAATTCATTCTTGGTCGGTTCATTTTAGAACAACTAGATTAAGTGAGATTTTGAATCAACCTGTTAGAATTAATGTTTAATGACATGATTAATAGATGTTTCTTATTATTCATTTTTTCTGCCTCTAGGATACTTCATGAAGTTTTATTGTCTCAATTTTGTTTACAGCAGCAACTAATTTTCCAGAACTTCCAGCTGCAACATCTGCGCAGATTGGTAAGGATCTACTCTTTTTTTTTTTTTTACCAATTTTATGATATCTACAATAGAACTTCATGTGCTATCTCAATAGAATTCCTTGCAGAATAATTTTATTTTGGGTTTTATTTTTTTTACTGTAGATATATGTCTAGAAACTAGATTAGATTAGATATCAGCCAATCCGAAATGGTTGGGACAAGGCTAAAGATGATGATGATACACTTTATCATAAAAAACCTACTTTTTGAGTTGATTTTTAATGTTTATATAAGGGCGAGACAGGGAATGGGGAGGGATTTTTTACGTTTTTAAAATCCAAATTCTTTTGAGTTGGTTTTTCAAGTTTTATATGGTATGGGAATTGTCTCCTATTAGTCAATTCATACATTTCTTAAAAGCTTAGCTTTATACTGGACTTAAATCCAGCTTAAGATCAAATAGCCAATAGTTTACTTGTTATGATTTTTTTCACCATTTTATAATTCCATTTGTTATATTTTGATCATATCTTATTTGTAGCATAGAAAGATATAAAATTATAGAAGTTATTTATATTTAGGAGCTTGTATGTTTATTCTATTGTACCGTAGAATATTGTACTCATTTTTTTTATTATAAAGAGGGGTCCTCTAATGAATAAGTCAAATAAGAAAGAGTTTTACTGCTAACATTGTATCATAGTAGGGTTATTCTAGCTCACATTAACTCGAGACCTTTTTCCAATGTTAATTCAGCCAATAAATTCAATTTTACAGATTATGTTCTGCGGCTGAGAGCCACTCTTTTTGTCAGTTCTCACAACAAACTCCGTCAACTCGATTTGATTCTGTAAAGTTTGCAAAGTGAAAAGTATCTAACTACACTGTTCTTAGATTAGTCGCTCGACTATCTTGAACCATCGCTTGCATTCTTTGTCATGTTTCAAGGATTGGCCAAAATAATGCATGAATTTTTGTATTACACCCTATTCTCAGCAAAGTAACATCTCTCGTGTCTATATTTTCTACTTTTAGTTTTTTCTTCACTTTAATAAAAGATATGCAAATTTACGGGTTCTATATCATCGAGAAGAAAATATGATGAATTATTTCAATTTTATCCCTTCATTAGTGATCCCACTGTTCCAAAGAAATAGAAGGTAGAATCGAGTAACTAATTTTTTCTCTCTCTTGGCTTCGTCATGTAACTCAACTCCTCAAGTTTTGATTCCTTGATATCAACCCCGACCATTAGCTGTAAGGGTGGTTTTGAGGGTTGGATGTGGTGTTTTGATTGATGCGGTCGTGTCAATAATTGTGATGCTTTTTAACCTTCCCTCATTATAGCTGAACTAGTGAACATTTTCTGAATGGTTTGGCTCTTGTCTAGACCTACCTGCGTGATACACCAAAAATATATGCATATTTAAGCCTATATATTATACTCATTTTTTTTGAAATTGCACTTTAAAGGAGGGTATTTTTCATGTTTTATTGCAGGTTGTTATTTTTTAAAAATTAAAGCAAAAAATAAGTAAAAATGATGGAATTTGGAGTCAAAATGACGTTTTTGAAGAAATACTTAGCGCCGACGACGCCAGGATGGACGCCGACGACGCAGACCTATAGAACATAGGCCAGACTATCCTCAGTGCCGACGGTGCCAGGAGCAGCGCCGACAACGCCATTTAACAAAGAGCACAAAATTAATTTATGGGCCACTGGCGCCGACGAAGCCAGTGTCGGTGCAAAACCTATTTCTAGAAGATTCGACGAATTTGGTCGCTTTTTGAAGAGTTTTTAGATGCACTTATAGGAAAAACGACATTAGACTCTATTTAGAGCGGAAGTTGATCAGAATAGACCCCCCTTGGACCCCCCTTCACGCCTTCGACCGCTTTCCACTCTCTTCCACGCTATTTCACATTCTCCACAGCCACTTAAGTCCATTAGTCATTTATTTCTTTAGAGTTTTTGTGGTGAGTTTAAGTGTGAATTCTTTTCTGTGAGTTTAAGTGTGAATTCTTTGTGGTGAGTTTAAGTGTGAATTCTTTTCTAAGAGTGTTAGAGAGGGAGAAAAGTGAGAGATTTCTTCATCCTACATCTTCTAAGAGAGGCTACAAGAGATTTATTTTGAGAAAAAGTTTCAGATAAGTATTGTTTGTTTATTATTGTTGTATGAACTTTTTTTTTATATATGAAATTTGTGTTTTGTTATATCTTTCTCATGAAGTCTGAGTAGTTTCCTTTATCTTTCTCCCTATTCTGAGATATGATGAAATGAAAAGATAATTTTGATGTGCCAATTTTAAAATATAAAATAAATTGTGATGATTTTTCAACTCCATTCTAAATTTACTTTTCGATCTAGCCAATTAAATTGTTAAAATATATTGTGAAACATATAATCCGGGAAATGGAGTATGAGTTCTACAACAAGAGTGAGAATCACATTTAATTCCATGAAGAAGTATTTCGTTCATGGAATTAAGTGCAAATAAATAG